AACGCTCCCTTCTGGTGATCGTCTAAGCTGCCGCTACTTTGATAACGCTCACTCCATGGGGTATCTGGAAAGACCCGCATCGAACACTGCTCGCTTCTGAGTTGACTCGCCGACAACGGAACTGATTCTACTTCGATGGTGGAGCTCAACAAAATATGCGAAATTTTGGCTCCCCTTAATGCTTACAGTTGGGCTGCCGTGTGATTCTCATATGTACAAATGTAACCACAGCCTCGTGTAGGTTACTTTTGGCGTCCCATTGGTTGGGGCCGTCCTACTACCTGCCCCTATTTGACGTCGACGTTGATTCTGGGACATTGGAGCATAGTACACCCAGTACAGATTGCTGTTTCATAGTACCTTTCGATATCTCACTGGTAGCGATTGCCATGCTCGATGATTTATCGCACTCGAAAAACTCCGCTTCTCTTCTCCGTTTCCGTTCCAGTGATGGGTGCTTCTAATTTTGAATGTCTGTCCTTCTTGGAAGCGGCCGTAACCCAACTTTTACTCGTACCGGCTTGCTCTTTTGCTATGCACTCAGTCGGAATATTGAGCAAAGCGTTGTTTGTAGTTACTCACATCAAACTGGGATCCGCATTATTAGAATGTGCGCCACTTGCGATATTGGAACAGCAGTTGCTTTTCGGGGCTGTGGATGACGTTTTGCCAACGGTGTTACCAGCCGTTCTCCTCAGGCCTGGAGCAGCACTTACTGGAGAGTCTTTGGTTGCAATGTCTGTTATGTTTACCACCAATTGTGGTGATTTTGGTGGTTACCATTTCCTCAAACTTGACTAGTAGTTGGTCGTACTTCTAAGGTAAACGTAGCACGCTTTTTATCTGTGTGACGGCCGCGCATTCCATGCAGAACTATGCCATTTCTCGGCCAAGTTGTCGTCTTGGGCAACAGAAGTAATCTGAGGGGCATTCAACATAAGTCTACTCAATTAGTTTGTTCCGTGCGTGGGAGCTGAAGCGTCCCAACTGTTCTCCTATGACTTAGTGCGTCTAAGGTCCAATTGGCTGAAGGCGACGGGCTATACACGCACACCTGCACAAGTGACTGGCGTACGCACGGAACAAATTAATTGAGTAGACTCATGTTGAATGCCCCCTCAGATTATTTCTGTTGCCCAAGAGGACAAATTGGCCGGGAAATGGTATAGAAAGAATCTGGTCTGCTGTTTAACACTTTGTCCTGGTTAGATTTTATTCCGACACATTTCGTATGGAATATTTTAAACAGTTGGAACATGCAATACTCAATTTGACAACTTTGGCACATTATCCGTATATCTTTATCTTGAGGGCGCTAGGTGTCACGCTAAATGCGAATCTTACGCCTCATTTGACTGACTAACCATCGATGATCGGCATTTGTTTTCGTGGTTCCGACTTTGATGGCAAGGTCACACTGTTCACTGCGCTCTTCTGGGACTGTAAACTGTCCTGTCTATAAGAAGTTCGTATGACGTGTCGGTCGAATGCATCCGTGTGTCCTTGAGACAGATCATGTGAGAGTTTGATATAGTTTCATGACGGGCCTATGAATCGGCCCGAAGTGGACTTGTCGTGAGTCTAAGAGTGATTCGCTGTGGAGAAAATTAAATTCCTCTGTAGGTGCTCCACACAATTTTAGCTTGGAAGTGTGAGAGCTTGTTTGAACATCGTTGGAATGCCTTATCGAGTGAGAACAACAATTGTATCCGACAGATGGAATCGCGTAAATATCGGTGAAAAACCGCCCGGTATTTACACTTCTGGCCAAATGTAGGATGTATTGTTAGTGTTCTCTGGAAATTGGTATCACGAGATGGAGCCTGTAAAAGCAAGACAAATAAGTATAGACACAGTGGTGTGTGACAAACTGCTACTGCATGACAGTTAGAAAAACAGGAACGCATGAATGTGCGACTAGCCAAAAATAGTTCGCTGCGACTTGTTCCCACGAGTTTATGTATTCGGTATTACCCACAGACTAGCCAATGATCCGCTTACCGAGAGTAAAGTCTGCGCACTTTCCTCTGTTGTTCTAAAGGCCCGGAGAAATCGCGGATTAGACGAAAGTGTTGCTTCGGAGCCTGAGCCTGATTCAGATATTTTGCATGAACCTGTAAATGTTGATCGCAAACGATCACATTGAGTGATGTACTAATCCGAAAGTTATTTTGCATTGTGCTTGTTAATGTTAACAATATTTATTCCACTCCCGGTATTGGTTTACGCTTATATTGTAGGTACTGGAGGAACGCCGTAGTCAGATCGAGAAGCAACTTGGCGAGGTTCGCTCACAGCAGAAGCGTGAGCTCGAATCTAGTGAAGCTTTGCTTAAAGAGCTACTAAGGCAAAAAGATGTTGAGACTTCCTGTGCAGTGAAGAATGAAAAGTCGAGAACGACGGAAGAGCAAGACCTGAATACACTAGGGCACGAAAGACCCTCCGCAATGCGTCAAACCCTAGGAAAATCAAAATACGAAACGACGATCAATGATGATGCGGAGGCAGCGTACGAACAGCTGCTACGACAAGAGGCCGAAAAATTTCGTCTATCGAATGATTCGGTTACTCGTCCCAAGGTTGGAACTATGCCCTTATCCCTCAGTTTGAAGCCCGGTGGAAACATTTGGTAACTATTTCTCTATTGTCAGCAAAAATGCATTTTGTGAGCGAATTCGGAGGTGAATGCTTTATTCCGTAAAATGTAAGCAAAATTCCGCTGCTATTTTTGATACGGACTCCACTTTTTTCTCTCAATTTGAATAGACCAGGCTTCCACGGACAGTGTCATGCTGTGAACTATCCTTTACTGGTATGTACATCTAAGCTCTCAACGTAAGTGGTCGTAATTCAAAACTGCTCAGCATTTCATTTCCCTACCTACTGGTTTTTCTGGTTCCACTGAAAAGGTTACGATAGCACTTATCTCGCTAATGCCGCCAGAGTTATGATGGAAATCTAGGTACGCGCAGGTGGGAGCAAACACGAAAATATCTAGGTTTATCTGCAGGTATTCGGTTAGATCATGTGCGGAACGGATATTTTGCCGTAAGCCACTGCTCCTTTGCCTTCTGCTACAATAGCAATTTGCCACCTTTGTCTCCTTGATCCCAGCAGATAGGATATCAAATTTACGCTTGAATTAGAGGAGGATAACAAGCTACCATTTTTGGATGTACTGGTCACTAGGAATACAGATGGATCTATGGAAACGTGCGTATATCGGAAGAAAACGCATACGGATCAGATATTAAACTACTACAACAATCACCCGATGAATCACAAGAAGAGCTGCATTCAAACCTTGTTCAAGAGAGCGGAAACGCACTGCAGCACAGCCGAATCGCGGAAACAGGAAGAGCATCACCTATATCGAGTGTTTAGAAACAACGGTTATCCGAGAAGTTTCATCCGAAGAAGCTTAAAGAAACGAATGCCTCAGCAACAGCAGCAATCATCTGATCAACCAAACAAACGGATAGTGCTGCCCTACATCAAGAACGTCTCCGAACTAACAGGAAGATTGCTGCTATCACATGGAATCTCTGTGGCTCACAAGCCAAGTGCCACCCTAAGGAAATTGATCTCAAGACCCAAAGGAAAAGTCAATGAAGCCGACCAATGCAATGTCATCTACCAGCTAAAATGCGGTGACTGCGATAAAATCTACGTCGGACAAACTGGAAGAAAACTTGGTACACGAATCACCGAACACAAGGCGGCCGTCAGAAGGCACGATCCACACTCATTGGTTTCTGCGCATGAAGATCAAGAAGGTCACCATTTCGATCTGGAGAGTGTAAAGATCCTAGCACATGGAAGTACAAAACACGAGAGGGAATTTTTGGAAGCCTGGTACTCTACAACGCATGCAATCAATCGACACATCGAACTTGACGCAGTATACGCCACGCTACTGACGAAGGACCGACAACTCGATCGATTGAATCCGGTGGAACGTGTGACTAGACAACCCGAACTGGCGGCAGACTAGCTCGCATGAGCAAGCGGACAAAGGAGTTGAGGTCAAGGTCATCTGCCCATTAAGCAAGCTGAACACGGATCGAAGTCCCAACCAATAGGATTGCTCGGATCCGCGGCCAACCACGACGGTATAAAAACGCACGCACGCCACGCTCAGCGCACTCTCACCGAGGCTCCTCTACGCTACTCTACGCTATTGCATGCCACTCCACTACGCACTGATGATGTCACCTCGATTGGTGACGAAACGTTTGCAACAAAATTGCCAAGCTCAGCGAACAGTTCAACAGCCACATGTAACCACTCTTTGATTCTAACACTGTCAAACGAACCGTGCACCCCGTCCCCTCCAGCAACGACCAACTGTCGCCTGGAACCAGTATGGACGAGGTAGTGGGTAATAGACAGGTAGGCACCTTGTCAACATGCACATCAAGCGCAGCCACACCGGGGATGTCAAGCAACAGTCAATCACTTGAGAGAAAGATAACAAAGAAAATAAATCGAGTAATGCATAAGGAAACGTGACAAAAATCTTAAATTAATAAGCATATGAAATAAGTTGTTAACACAGGATCCGAGATAACTTCAGGGGGTCAGAAAGTATATTTTATGGAAATGACACAAACGCGAAAATGTTATCGAGGTTAACTACAATTGGCCTAAGCGATCTGTGCAAGTTTCTAGAAGAGCGTACAGGTGGACATTTATTTGAGAAAGAAAAGCGTTAGGACAAAATTGCAAACCCACCACCTGAAATAAAGAGACTTAGCATGCAAGTCTGCGGTTAGTAAATCGAATGCAGCGTACCTACAAACGCTGCGCTGGTTCTGCCTACGCCCTCTGCAGGACCCGTCGTCGCTTCGGTAGTGGTCCCGAGTGGCCTCGCTTATGGCTCACTAGGCCTGTCTGACTCAGGCACTCGCGGCCGCATGTGCTACAGCACCATGCGCTTTATGTCGATGGAGAACAACCCATCGGTGCTTGCCGCTTCCGCACTTGCCGCTTCTTCTCTGCATGCATGATGGCTTTGTCCTGCAACTCGGCAACTGCCTTCGTGATCAGATCGCGCCATGCACGCCGATCAACCGCCTTCGATTCCCATGATCTGCAAGCAGGATTAGAACGTGAGAGGCTCACTTTTATCATGTCCTAGTAACGAAACTTCGGTTTCCTCGCATGCCGCTTCCCTATACTCAGCTGACCATATGAGAGTTGCTTCGGTACCTGCGTTGAATCCAGACAGCTCACATGACCGATCCACCTCAGGTGTCTCAGCAAACGTATGCAGTCCACTGCATACATTCCACGTTGGCGCAACACTTCCGTGTCTGCAACTCTGTCACCCCAACCGATGCGCAAAATTCGTCGCAGACATTGCTGATGGAACCGCTCGAGATATCGCACATCCCGACGGTACATCGTCCACGTTTCACTGCCGTATAGAAGAACGGACAGCACCATGGATTTGTACACCATCAGCTTCGTGCCAATTGTAAGCTGATTGTTTTTCCACACTCGCTACTCAAACTTCCCGAATGCCGCCGCTGCCTTCGACACGCGGATACGAAGCTCATTGTGTATCTGTTGATCAGTCAACATCATACTCCTAAGGTAGCAGAAGCGGGAGGTGGTTTCCAATACTTCAGCACCAATGCTGATTCGCGGCAATATTGAAAATTGCACCTCCGGTGAAGGCTGAAAGAGACAGACAGTTTTGCTTGTGTTGATGATGAGCCCGAATTTGGTCGCTGTCGAAGCCAGAGCGCAAGTCATGTGCTGCAACTCATCTGCGCTGTGCACACATTCACCAACGCTGGTCCGCCGTGTTTCAATACTTCAGGCGGGATCCCGTCGCCCCAGCACACTTGGTGTTTCGTAGCTGAGCAAGTACTCTCTGCGTCTCATCCAGTGTCATTGTGTCCGCCACTCACCTTCACGTCCTGCTGGTTCAGGCCGTTCAAGGTAGTCCAGTCACTATCTAAACGGTTTTTCAATTGACGGTCAAAATGGTTTCGCCAGATCTGCAATCTGTGTACAGCCACCGCCTGAAGTATCATCGAGCAGCGTTCTCAGCGGCTCCAATCTCGATCCCTACACCGCCTTCAAGGAGTCAAACAATTTTTTGTCTTGGCGTTGTTCATCGCAACATTCCATCTGCTTCGCCTTTCCCCTCCACCGAACATTTTTATACGACGGAGCTCTCGAGTCAGTCGCCATTGAGGTTTGCGAAACTGACTTTTCTTCCCCAAGTCACTGGTGTTTGTTACATGTGCATCAAATGCTGCGTTCTTCTCCGACACCAATACGCCGATCGTCGCGTTGTTCTCATCAAACCAATCAGGCCGCTTACAGTTTGCGCGCCCGATGGTGTCCTCTGCAGCAGCTGTCACCTGGTCGCGAATGTGGTGCCACAGGTCACCCACTGTGGGTATGCATTCCACATCACACAGCGTGCAGCCATCGCGTTCTCCAACTCCATCCTTTTCTTCACAGTACCTAGTGAAAAACGTTATATTTTTGCCGGTTTATGGCATCGTTACAATACATAGATTTACTAAGATATGTGTACAATTTGGTCCGCACCGTGTTATGTATACATATATATATATATATATATAGTGCTCCAAACTTTTGAAGTATACCAGGAATCGGTCGAGAAGCGCTGAGTTCTGGGTTTTCAGCGCCGTAGAGTGAAGTCTCACTTATCCTCATTAGGACGATATCTTCTAGTTCACAATTCAAGCTCAGTCATCATCAGCAATACGCTGGCACACCGTACCAGCGCTTCTGTGTCACGTGACTTTTGTGTAGTCCTCTGATAGTCATGACAATGCCAGAGCAACGATCAATGACCCTCATTTGTAAAGCAGCTACCTCAGGTGAAAATGAAAAACAATTCCGGATTAAGATGAGTTGCCTCAGTCCTGTTGATGGGACAGCATGCATCCAATGGTCATATCTCACTATCGCTTTGAGGGCAGTCGTTGTTCCTTTTATCGGCTACCTGCAAAACGACCAATTTGACAGCTTTTTACTTTCGAATTCATCAGCTGTAGATCACGCACAACCATTGTCGTAACGACAGGCTACACTAGTTATACGGTGCTCTGCAGAGCAGTTAAAGTAGTCAGGACTTTGAGACATTTAAAGCGATATCATTGTAAAGTGAATCGTGGCCTAAATCGAGACCAAATATCACACTTAGGACATGCAGTGGGGTTTCTATAATCTAACATGCTTGTGGCACATGTTACTGCCGTTTCTCCGTAGCATGATGATAAGGCGTCTGCAGTCAAACCAGACTCCGCATGTTCTAATAGCATCTTGGCATTCTCCATATAAATGCCCTGCGCAATAAATGAGTCATGGATTGAACTGTACTATAGGTAAGTACACGACACCTAGGACACGGTTGTAAAATGTGGAGAAGCAGTCCCTCTGCACTGATGCGAAAACTCAAATAATCAACTTGGGGTGCCAAAAATACGCATTTTTCACATTTCAACTTCAAGCATTCTCCTTCAGGCGGTTCAGAGCAACTCGCAGTTTGTAGATGTTCGTCAATTGTTTCCCCGGTAATCAGGATATCATCTAGGTACACGAAGGCTGCAAGACGGCCTGAGCCATTTGATAGTCTTTTATACTTAAACAAGCCTTGATACGTACTTCTTCTCGTTATTATTTCGGCGTTTTCGAGTAGTTCGGGTTGTTGATAGGCGTGCGCAAGGTCTAAGTCGAAACATATCTACTGGTACCGAGCTGAGTGTAAACGTCTCTAATTTTTTGGATTGTGGTATTTTTCAGCCCGATTTCTGCACTTGAGGTTAATATTGTAGATACCACAGGTATGGATCGATTCATCAGGCTTGAGTACTGAAACAGTTGGTGTA